AAAAAAAAAAAAAAAAAAAAACTCAACTTCATGAGCTTCCCGTGGGGCAGAGCCCATCCGCCTGGACTTGGCTAGTTTCGACAGCCTTCCGCAAATACCGCCTGCACGGATGGGCTAACAGTGACTTTAGCATGCAGATTCCTCCCCCTCCCCTGATGAACAGCAGCCCCACAGATCTACACGGCCCTGGGCTCAGCAACTCCGTTTCTGCCCAAATAACAAACATACGCACGTCCAGCGCATATCTCCTGTGCTAGGCGCTCTTCTGAGCACCTCACATACATACTAACTTCATCCTGCAACCTGCCATTACTGGCCCCATTTTACACATGAGGTGACGAATGGAAGCCCAGGGAGCTGTGTGAACTCGCCCGGGGTCTCGCACATTTGGAAAGCCAGCCGGGTCTGCGTCCGGAAGCACCAGGCTAAATCGTAGAGGAGTGCTACCCCGTGTGCTCAGTGCGGGGAGCTGGTGCGGAACAGGGTGTTACGGGCTAGGAGGACATCGATCCGGGAACGGGATCCAGGAATGGGAGTCGGCGTTTGGAAACTGCCATCCTAATTGGCCTAGCTGCCGCATTTCCTTTTCCTGGTGATCCGTTTTCATTGTGTTTGTGGGTTTGAGCAGCACGGCCGTGGGGTTTCCCTGCGTAGATTTTTGGATACTTTCTGTTGCTCATCTCAGAAAGAATCTCAGGTCTGGAATGGATGGTAGAGACCACTTAGTTCAATGCCCACCTCTGCGAGGTGGGGAACCAGGGAGCCAGGGATGGGGTGGGAGAGCCGAGTGGAGCACCCGCGCCTCCTGGCTCCTTGTCTTCCCCAACACAAACGCTGATCACTCATCCTTCACCGGAAGAACGTGGAGCGCGGCTCTGCAGCCCACTGTGCACATGGCGGGGAGGCCCATCAAAGAGAAGTGCTGGGCCTCGCACAGACCACCATGCCCGTTGGCCGGAGTTCTCGGGATGCCCAGTGGGGGCCGGGACTGACAGGCAGGCAGACAGGCTTGGTAGAGGGTGACAGAAGCATATGTCCCTGGACCTAAAGTACTGAAAGGGGCGACCACACCCACCAGAATCCCAGGGCAGAAGGCTCCTCCAGAGTCAGTGGCTCGCCCCTCATCTGCCCTTCACTCATTCTGCTGAGTGGCCCCCAGATACTGGCTGTGCCTGGACCGTAAGATCCCACAGCTTTCCCACCCCACCCCCTGCCATGGCCCGAGCCACCCCTTCCCTGGGGAAGCACAACCTCTTCCGCTGACTGGGCTCCCTACTTCCCACCCTGCCTCTGTCTAGGCTCTAGACCAGAGAAGTCCTTTGCTCTGTGTGTGTGTGTGTGTGTGTGTGTGTGTGTGTGTGTATTTTAAGTAAACTTTGTAGTTCAGTATAACAATAATCCTTTAAAAACCTAAGCCAGATGGTATCCCTTCTCTCCCCCACATAGACCACAGCATCCAGCTTGCAAGAAAACACTAAAGTCCTTTCCTGGATTAAAACAGCCTATGAGGCCATGGGTGGCTCAGTTAGGTAAGCATCAGACCCTGGATTTCAGCTCCAGGGTCATGATCCTGATCTCATGGTCTGTGAGTTCAAGTCCCGAGTTGGGCTCTGCACGGACAGTGGGGAGCCTGCTTGGGATTCTCTCTCCCCCTCTGCCTCTCGCTCACACATGCGCGCGCTCTCTCTCAAAAAATAAATTAAAAAAAAAAATAAGTAAAATAAAATGGACTATGAGACCAAGATCTCTCAGCCCGCCCACCCTCTCGCTCCTAAGGACCTCTGTCATCCTGTTCCCTCTGCCGTCCCCGGACTCCTCACACCGTTGGAAGTCGCATCACTGGCACCCTGGTCCTTGTGCTGCTCTGGGCTTTCTCTGGGGTTGTAGCGCCAGCCAGCAGGGCATTTATGTACTGTGTAGTACCTGTCTCCCTGCCTGGAAATGTCCGCTCCACAAGAACTGGGGCTTCGGTCTTGCGGCATCCCCAGAGCCCAGGACAGTGCTGGGCATGATGTATGAGTGCTCAACCAACATCTGAAGCAAAGTGAAAAGATGCCTTTCCCTGAAGATTCCAGAAAGCACAGTCCCAGGCCAGTGGCCAGAGGGCAGGGCCCAGAAGGAGCACAGAGGAGGCTCCCTCGGGAGGGCAGTGGGAAGTGCCTGAGGGCTTAAGGGGCACCAGCTGGATCTCTGTTTCCTAAAAATCATTTAAGAGTTTGCTGGAGAGGCGCTATTTTGGACGAGTAATTCAGGGCAGAACCTTCAAAAGAAAGGGAAAAATGGGACTGGCAGAGCCAAGAAAAAAGAAGTCTCCCCTCCAGGGCGGACTTTGTTCTAACCATTCAACCTGATGCTTGCTCGGAACACGAACTTGGCTTGCTTACTAGGCCCCCGAAGGCTGAACCCCGTAGCTTGTTTGTGGCACTTACATTCGGGGAGGGCTGAAAGGCCTTTGGGGGCTGCAGGGCTTTTCAAAAAAGCCGCGGGAGATTTCACCGAGCCCCCTTCCCACCTGGCTCCAAGGGCTGGGGGCACATTTAGAAATTAGAGAAAGGGCGCAAGTGGAAGGCAGGGAGCCTCTGGCTTCTCCCGTTCCTTTGATAGGCAGCTCTCGCGCAGGGGGCAGCCCCGCGGCCAAGTCCAGAGGCATTTTCTGCGCACTGCACTTCAAATGGGGGGCAGGGAGGGGGTGCTGGGGCACCACGTGGCTCCTAATTCCCTGCCTCCAAATGCTGCTTCCCACTTCCTAGGTTGGAAAAGTGGCCACGGGG